GACCACAGGTTTGCTCAGGGACATCTGGGAGGTGACTCACAGTGCTGGGACTGGAAACTGGGAAAGCTTTGACTGAAGGACACTGTGAAAAAAAATCAGTGGAGCCACAGAGTGTCTCAAGTTCAGTACTGAAACCTTGTCAAGCAGGTGTGAAGTCTCAGCCGTGTGAGCTGTTGTAATTCAGCAAAATGCTTGATCAGGAGTGAGCTTCTAAGGATATATTTTGAGTGTGTGGGGGTAAGAGTTAACTACATTTAAGATTTCTGTTGAATTGACATCTCAGGCTGTTTGTTTTGTTTTTTTTTTTCTTGTTTTGTATTTTTGACAAATGAAGATTTGTATGCCTGGGGCATATATGTTTAAAGCAATAAAAACCATGTGCCTGTTTACAATTTTGAGTCTGATGGAATTTGAAATAGCAGATTTACTGCACTTTGAAGTAAGTTATGTAGCAATATCACATAGCTTCAAAACATCACAGGGAACAGTTTGGGGCATTTGATTTATTCTGTTATATTTGTGTATTTCTGAATAGTCTGCTTTAAAAACAACCAGAAGTCCCAATAAAGTCTGTTAATGTTTTTTAATGGGTTATGTTTTCAGCTGCTATAAATCTGTAGCTACAAGGCAGTGGGTTTGTGTCAGTTTATAAAAGCTGAATACTTAGCCCAGTGATAAAAGGGTTGCAGAAACTGCTGGCTGGGGTTGAATGGAATCATTTGAATGTGGCTTAAGATATTATTTCTAGATCAGTTGTGCGGTTGCCCCAAAATTGCACAACACCCAATCTGAATTCAGACTAGGTAAACTTAGTTGATTGTAAACTGTTTTCCTCTTCTCCAGAGAGACAATGTGATCTTTATCTCACTGAGATGTGCTCAGTCCTCACTTTGCATATGGTATCAGCAATGGGAACTGCCAAAAGAAAAGAGAAAGCTGTAGATAAAATGGAGCAGACTATTTTTATATTTTGAAAATCTCATTATTTTATTTGATTGTCAGAGTTGTACTTTTGTTAAGAAAATGAATGTATTTTTTAAAGTTAAAAGAATGGAAGACTTAAGTGCAGGGTAAGATTATTTTTGTACTTTTCTTTTTTTAGGTCTCAGTGTTGGTGCTGTAAAATGAATGAGCTCTGTATGTCTCCTTGTCAGTTTTAAATGACGTGTATGCCTTGCATATGTTCAGAGCATATGACTGAAAGAAGCAGATTCTTATGTTGACAACCATTCAGATTAAATGCTAATCTAATGTAAACCTCCTGCCTTCCTGCTGCTTGGCAGTAACAGGGCCCAGTTTCAATCCCCAGGGGTTCTCACTCAGGTAATACCCAAAGACAGTCATAAGAACATGGGAGATTGGATTAAACCAGTTGGGTGCCTAATGGACAGCACTTCCCCACCTGCTTGCAAGCAATTCCAACAAATGGATTGACACAGAGGAAGGAAAGGGAAAGATAATGGAGTTACATGTCGCTGGGTAGCGCTCCATAAGGCAAACCATTCCCAATTTCTTGTCCTTGCAGAAGTGTGGTGATGGCAGCCCAAATCCCCCACACTGGGCTGGCTGCTGGCAGTCAGTAGCTGAGCTGAGCACTAGTCATAAATTCATACAATCATTAAGATTGGAAAAGATCTTTAAGATCATCAAGTCCGACTGTTAACCCCGTCTCCTCTTCCAGTTTCATCCCCCTTGTAGTTCCTGCTTGGCAATAACCACAGAAGCTCAGAACATGCTGAATTAGAAGGGACCCACAAGGATCACTGAGTCCAACCCTTAGCCCTGCACAGCACCATGCCCAAGAGTCACACCCTGTGCCTCAGAGTATCATCCAAACGCAACGCTTTTTGGACTCTGTCAGCCTTGATGCTGTGACCACTTCCCTGGGGAAGCTGTTCCAGTGCCCAACCACCCTCTGGGTGAAGAACCTTTTCCCAATATCCAACCTAAACGTTCCCTGAAACCTTCCAAGGTTACACCGCCTTCCTGAGTGATCAGCTCCCTGCGGGTCACAGGTAGCCACACATCCACACATCCGAGCTGCTGTTCCCTCCAGGCACAGATGGAGGGGGTTGGATGCTGTTGGACACCGGCTGTACCTCCTGCAGGTATGTTCTCCCTCCTGCCCCGCTGTGCCTGCACGTCCCTGAGCTCCCTGACCTGCTTCGGCTTAGCTGGATTAGATCCCTTGTGCTGAGTCCCCCACTTTAATAGGTGGATACCACCTCAGACATCTGTCCCTGCAGAGTTCCCTGAAGGCTGAGACCTTCCCTGTCAGGTCATGGGATTTTCAGGGGGGCCTCTGAAGATTTGAGTACTAATTCCTTAAATCACTCCTGTACCTTATAAGAATTGTTGCTCAGTTCAGTCCCTGCTGTGTCCTCTCATCTCTGTTCACCTTCTGCACTCCCAGTAAAGCAGTTGAAGTAGACAATGTTTTAAAGCAAACTCTGCTTTTGGATTCAGAGTTTGTTTCCAAGTATCACTTGTTCATTTCCTTCTCTACTTGCCTTTCTAGGCTGTAAACAGAAAGCCCAAAATTAAATCAATCTTCTTGAGAGGAAGCATTTCCACAAGGGAAACTCGTGTCCTTTCAGACCTGATATTTGTTGTCCAGATCTGAAGATGAGGAAGAGAAGGCAAGTGAGTTCAAAGTCCCATTCAGTACGGTACAGCCAGTAGCAGTCTAGTGCCTAATGGTCAATCATATACCTCCTATGGATTTCGTATCACAGGTATGTAAAAACTCTCTCAAAACAATAGTCTTTCCCTTCAGAAAACGCCTAGGCTGATTTATGGAAAGGTTAGTTGGATTCACAGGACTGGCAGGTGAGGGAAGGAGTTTTGTTTTCCTGCAATTTTTAGGACCACTTTTTTTTTTTTTTTTTTTTTTTACCTTAACTCTCTGCAAGACCGTGGTTCAGATACACAGCAAGAGTGCTGAGTATTATGGTTACAAAAATGTGTGTATGTTGTGGGCCTAAAGTATGAAACCAGAGAGTTTTCACGTGACTAAGCACCAAATCTGCTGCACAAACCAGACACTGTCTCACTGGGAAGCTTCACTGAGACCTCTCCTGGAGTGCTGCATCCAGCTCTGGGGCACCCAAAATAGGAATGGTGTGGACCTGTTGGAGTGAGTCCAGAGGAGGCCATGAAGGTGCTGAAAGGGCTGGAGCATCTCCCCTGTGGAGACAGGCTGAGAGAGTTAGGGTTGTTCAGCTTGGAGGTCTCCAGGGAGATTTTAGAGCACCTTCCAGTGCCTACAACAGAGATGGAGAGGGACTTTTTACAAGAGCCTATGTTGACAGGACATGGGGGAAATAGCTTAAAAGTGACAGAGAGATAGTTTGGATGAGATATTGGGAAGAAATTATATTCTGTGAGGGTGGTGAGACACTGGCACAGGTTGCCTAGAGAAGCTATGGCTGCCTCATCCCTGTAAGTGTTCAAGGCCAGGTTGGGCAGGGCTTGGAGAAACCTGGGATAGTGGAAGGTGTCCCTGCCCATGGCAGTGGGGTTGGAACTAGAGGATCTTCAAGGTCCCTTCCAACCCAAACCATTCTGGGCTTCCATGAAATAAGCAATTCTATAATGTAAGGATTTCGTTGAGAGTCCTAGGGTTATATTTTAAACGCAGTATTTGTCCACATGCACACAGTACACCATGAAGAGCAAGCTATTGACATCTTCTAATGGGTGACTTGCACTTGCTGTGCCTGCTCCAGTTACCCCACATGGCAATGTCCTGTGTGCAGGTAGCTCCTGGAGGAGCTGGAGGAACTCTACAAATCTGTTTGGTGCCATCTGAGGCAGAGCACGCTTCTGGTGGGAGACTGTCTTTTGTCAATCTAGACATAATACAAACAGGCAATAACTCCAAAATAAGCAGCTAATTTTTAGGCACTGTTTTGCTGCGTAACGAAATTATAGAAGCAGCATTTGAGGTATGAGCACTTCAAGGCCAACATGTCACGCAGAGACAAGAGTGCTCAGCCCTAACCCTTTCCTCCTTAGTGGGTTAGTGGGATATTGGAACCCAGAACAGGCATGAAAAAGGACTGTCAGGTGGCTGCGAAGAAACATGGCCCAACCCCAGCACCCAGCCTGTTTTGGATGCACACCCCGTGCCCAGGCTCTGGATTCAGTGACTTTCTAGTAGCTGTAATCATGGAACACCTCCTGATTAAACAGTGACCATTACTGAGAACAGATTGTTATGTAAAGGATGAATCCCACAGCTGCCAAATGATTTCACCTATTTCCCTCCTCCCCTAATCATCAAAAGCTGTAACTTCTAATTGTACCACTCAAGGCTGAGTGCTCTCTGCAGCTTTTGCTAGTGTTGTAACTTCAACATCATATTTTTGTGGACAGACAATTTTTTTGACAGTGGCTAAATCTCCAAATAGGCAATGAAAAAAAAAAAAAAAGAAAAAAGATTATCTTAGTCCTGAGACAGCAGCTCCAATTCTTTAATCTAGTCACTTGATGCTCTCTCACATAGTAAATGCCACTGTGAAAGCCTGATAAACTGCTTAATGTTATCATGCTGCGATTTTATGGGGAGCAATCTTGGATTAGTCTTTTCTTCGGTGCTGCAATCCACGTTACATAAACTTGTGCTTACATAAACTTTTTCTGATTTCACCTCCGTATTTTCCCTCTCTCTCTCACTACAAAAGCCCATGGAACATGTTCTTCTGTCAGCTTCTGTCAACTGGATGTTCTCACCGCAAAAGGCGAGACACATGACAGCCACTTCCCCAAACCCCCACAGAGATGGAAGCACAGAGAGGTGTTAAGGGCAGGCACAGGAGGGGAAGAGGATCTTGATTCTGCACACCATGGATAATCCAGATGAACCTACTTTGTCCCAAACTCCATGAACCTAAATTGGTGCTCACGCCAGTGCAAACCCACTTCTGCAGGCACTGTTCCTAAGTAACACCTGTAATATTTCAGGCTTTGGTAGAAGGGAGGAAATGGGGGACAATGCAGCATTTTCAAGGATTTCTTTATTATCCAAGTTTACTATTCGTCTAAAAACACCAATGTATTAAAGACCAAGATGGAAACTTGAGCTCAGAAATTTGTAAGAATGCGTGTTTTCAACCGCTGGTACAAAGAGCTGGTCTGTACTGCAAGAGGTATAGTTAAAAAACACTGCTCAGTATAAAAAAAAAAGTTAATGTTTCCAAGGATCAAAGAAATAATTTACAATGTAACAAAAAAAAAAATTTCAGAAATCCCAACAGATATTTGAGACTGCTGTTGAGAACCCACAGTCCTAAACAGTAAACATAAAAGCCCCCCATCACCAGGGAGGCATCGCAAAATCACTGCCAAAAACTACACGTTATTGCCGGGCTGTTCCGAAGTGCTGCCGCTGTCCAAGGTCTTGGAGGAGCAGTCCCTGAGGACTTCCAAAGTGATATCCAGGCTTTCAGACGAAGCAGATCTGCACCCTTGTGTGGAGCTGATGATGTCCAAGGTTTTGGAAGAACGGGCACTGTAGCCTTTTGCGCTGGCATCTCTTATGACGATCTCCTGCGCGGGCGCGAACGTCAGAGGGACAAAGCCCTCGCTGTCCGCCGTGAGAATGATCCACGAGGAACCTGCCAACACAAGAAAACATCTCTTGGTGATTTTTTGTGTGATTAGGTAAGTTGAAGGAACAAAACCTATTTCTTCCAGAATTAAATGCTGCTGTATAATCTCCAAAATAAAGGACACTTGGCAGCTATGACAACCTTTGCCACTAGGAGATGAGAAAATAATAAATGCACGCTTCAAATGAGGAGGAGGAATGAAATTCTTAGCAGAATTCATAAGCATCCACACTTGTTTTTAATTAGGTATTGATAAACTACTTCACAGTGCTAAAGCAGTGCAGATACTGTAAAAAGCAGAGATTTAGTATATTAAATTACAAGTTAATGTAATAATGCAGAAACTGCTTTTATTATGTAATTTCAATATCCTTAATTCCAATAAATACAAGGAAGAATACTGTACTATATACAGTGCAAATCCCATGTCTCTAGTCCCATTGCTATTTGACTCCATCATTAGCATTTTTTTTTTACAATTTGAAATAATTTACTGAATCTGAAACACTGAGTTCTACCAATACATATAAATCAGAAAATGTTCATGCTTGTATCCACTAAGCTGCTGAAGCAAGAAAATGGAGCTCATGGTGGGGTGAGGGAATTCAGAGAAACATTTCCAGCTGTTTGTAAATTTAAATTACGTAACTTCATGTCACAAGTAAGGTCACAAGAAGATTGTAGCTTAAAAGCCCACAACACTTTAATCTTTTGGTTTAATATCTCATTTGGAACAAACTTGAAAATACCACTCCTACTTTGCCCATTTATATTTCAAACAAACATATTCCAGCAGCTCCAGAAAGAGAAACAAAATTAGCACAATGGTAGGAAGAGCAGCCTTAGGCTTTGGGATGGCTGCCCAATGGTCTGTGAGGAGGCAGACAGCAGACAGACGTGGTGAGAAAAAAGCTGGAATATAGTACAGGGAACCCCTGGAGTAGTGGGAGATCATATCCCAGAAGTGTTTTCTACCTTTGCCATGAGTAAGACACTCCGAGTTGACACATACACAGACACATGGGATGGGCGTGGCATGAACTGATAACAGCAGAGAAGACGACAGCAGTAAGACAGGTAGTTTTCTTCACTGCAAAAACTGATGTGAAATGCACTGCCAGAGTGTGCAGAACTACTTCTTTGTTTACAAAAACGACAAGATTTGTTAAAGGAGACCAGATGCTGGAGCTACAGATTAAAATGCAAAAAACTGTATTCCCAAAACCAGCAGACAACCCTAATCTCCTCGTTACTTAGACTTCTCTCTTCAGAATAGCTGAAAACATAAATAAAACAGTACTGACAGTAACTTCCCTGTGTAACCAGCTACTTGGTAAGGGGGTATCCGGGCAAGACACGTTTAAAGTGTTGGTATTCCTGGATAATCACAACATACCATGCTGCATTTCCACAAGAGAGAGGTTGAATATCTGCTGGACGATGTTTAGGGAGAGTTTACCACCACAGAGAAGAACGGCCCGACTTTCATCTGAATCACTCCTGGAAAGCTGCTTCTGTAAATGCAAGAGAGTCCTTAGATGCTGTGATGTATATTTAAGCATAGATGTCAAAATGGGATTGATCAAAACAGGATCAGACAAGCCTTCAGTGACATCATTTACAGAAATTCAAACGCTACAATTCATTCAGACCAATTTGCAAGATTTATCCCTTAATGTCTCAGCTCTCAAACAGCAGGTCTGTGAGTGGCAGCAGCAAGGACCGGTGCTCATTCAGCACATGTCAGAGCACCAGGCGAGGAAATCACACACTGCTGCTGAAGAAACCACGAGCTTCATCCGCAGCACAATCCTCACACTTATCCTTCTATCTGTGAGGGATATTTCCCCAGGGAGTTTGTAAAGCTGCAGGTTTTCCATTCCCCCCTGTCCCTGATCCACAACTTAAGAAGATGAGAGAACTCCTGCTCATGAATGCTGTGGCAAAGGACAGACTCACAAGTCAGAAGAGCTTGTTTGTCTCACACACACACACAATGGGCCAGGTTGGAAGGGACCACAGCGGATCATCTGGTCCAACCTCCCTGCACAAGCAGGGTCATCCCAGAGCACATTGCTCAGGAAAGCCCAGATCTAATTTTTTCAGAAATCAAGTATACTTTCAGAAGTCCTCAGTATTTATACTGCAATACATCTGTACAGTGCAATTTTATATAGCACTATTTTAAAAAGTCCAAAGTATTTTAAATAGGAATAACTCTGCATTACTACACTTCCAAAATGCTTTTTAATGGTTTTGCCACAGAACAGACCTCTGACCACTGCTGCCCCAAGCCTTAAATACAAAAAGCACGTCCAAGGAATACTCTCAATGAGGTGGAGCAAAGTATTTTTTAAATCTGCAAAAGCTCAGTTTTTACCAATACTACAAATATTGTCTTTGTGTAGGATTAAATTCACAAAACCACACCACTTTGCAGGGAAGCCTTGATAACGTCTCTGGGTCATGATAAATCCACAATCAAGTAAATTCGGACTCCTTTTCCGTGCTGTGGATGGATCCATGCACCCACAAGGAGTGTATGGCAGAGGGGAGGGTGGAGATCACAGAATCACATGATGTCCTGAGTTGAAAGGGACCCACAAGAATGATTGAGTCCAACTCCTGGCCCCACGAAGGACCATCCCAAGAGTCACACCATGTGCCTGAGAGCGTTGTCCAAACACTTCTTGAACTCTGTCAGGCCTGGTGCTGTGAACCACTTCCCTGGGGAGCCTGTTCCAGTGCCCAATCACCCGCTGCGTGAAGAACCTTTTCCCAAAATCCAACCTAACCCTCCCCCCTCACATTTACAATGCTCTTGCACTGAAGATTCTCAGATGCTCTTTGTCTTCTGCACTGACAAACCCTGCCCTGTCAAAAACCTGCTTATTTGGGACATTTTGGGTTTCCTCAATGTTTTGTAAAATACAGCTAATCGCCTGGGCAGCAGAGAAACCACCAGGGCTCAGCACACGAGGTGAGGATCCCTGTTTGCCTGTTAATGATTTCCGAATCAAAAACACTCTGGCTGAAGTTAAAACCCAGCATTTTCTGCCAGACTTTCAAATGTCACTTGTAATTCAAAAGTCAAATGCTTTTCTTGCCACAAATCATCAGTGAGCAAAGTACGTAGGTGAAATTGAGGCACTACTTTAATTTGTGAAGCTACACACGAGGGCAGCTAATCCAACTCTTGGAATCACAGAATGGTTTTGGTTGGAAGGGACCTTGGAGATCATCCAGGTCCAACCCCCTCTCAGAGGGAAGGACACCTTTCAATAGACCAAGTTGCTTAAAGCCCCATCCAGCCTGGTCTTGAACACCAAGACAAGGTGTTACTTAGACCTCAATTGCAAACCACATGTAAAAAGAGAACTGACTACCAAAATTTAACAAAGATTTGTGATACCTCAAATTAAAGCAGGTTTCTAAAAAACACCTCAGACTTGCAGAGGGAAATGTTCACTTTTCAGAGTAACGCCCCAAACATAAATAATATTTGAGGTAGAAAAATAAGTTATAGTTATTAAATGTTTACAATGGAAAAAAGTGAAGAGAGTGAGGGAACATGATCTAGGATTTAAGAGTTCAATGCTACAAAAGCTGATATTAATTTTTTGCAATAATAAAGCTGAAAAACAAGAGCTTATTGAAAGGAAAACGGCAGTTGAAATGACTTTGAATATTGACTAAGGTTTATGAATCTGAATTCTAGAGGAAACCTAGTAGATTTGTGCCAGGTTTTGATAATCAGGTAACTTACCCCTTCCAGCATGAGATTTGCAAGAGCAAATCTTTCAGCCAAGGAAAGTGTTTTTCATACGAAATTTCATTTTAAATCCATTTTTAAGCTATGTTAATGGAATTATCTACTGTGTCCCTAAGGGTCCCTTTTCTCCTCCAATGCTAATTAGCAACCTTTCTGCTTCAGAGTCAAAGCAATCTGCTTTTCTTTCAGTCTCCATTATTTTAGTTGTCCTCATAGGAGAGTGGGAGATTGATACCAATTCCCACATGTGGAAATCTTCACTTGTCTAAATTTCTGAACTTTAAAAGTTGCCTAGGAAAAGCATTCCCTTCCTAGAACTCCATATAGGGCTTTAATTCCACAACTGAGCTGCCACACGTGGGTCCTGTGGAGTCTCAGGAGCCTCTGTGCACAGGGAACAGGTATGAGCTGAGGGATTCAGCCCAGCACGACGGAGCTGAACAGATATTCCATTGCTTTAAAAACATTGGAAGCCTGCAGAGTAATGGGATTTGTAACAGGAGTCCCATCTGCAGGAGCAGAATGGAAATCTAATCCTATTGACCATTACTTGAGCACTATACAGAACATACAGCCATAAACAGATTACATCACTATGGCTTCCAATATTAAAATTACCTGGCAGGTGATGTTAATAAAAGAGGGCTCCTGAGAAGACGGATACACTGGAAGGCTCCTCTTCCCAGATTTTAGCAGCTCAGTTAATTCACAGAGGTGCTGCTGCAATTCCGTGAAGTTACCAGACAGTTTTTCTACATTCTTCAAAAAGTAACTCGCCTCCTTTTCAGTGAACAGGTTATTCTTGTAAGAATTGGGTATTTTGGAAGCTGCCTCTGCCTGCCTTTTTGGAGACGTTGGCTTGTTCAAGGCGGCAGACAGTGCCACGGTCCGATTGACGGGTTCAGCATCCAGAGTCTCGACGGCTGGTGGTAAGTTCAGGGGAAACTTTTTGTCTTTGAAGTTGCTCATGTTCAACACCAGGTTTTCCTCGTAAGCAGGACTCTTGATTTCTTCAATGAGTTTCCTTCGGCTCGTAGGGGACTGAAGGGGAGAGCGATCCGGAATCAGGAGCCCACGGCTTAGGGGGTGAACATCTCTAGAGGGATTGTGAGGAATGTTGGAGAGGTTCAAACTGGAACTGCCATTAACTGATGGAAACGTTGAAGGACCCATTTCAAATATCAGTTTCTTAATCATCAAGCGGATCATGTATTTGTCTGACCTCGAAGAGGGAAGAAACGCAGGGTCACTGAATTTTTGGCTTCCAACCATGATCAGTAACAGTTTATTGGTCAAGAAGCATAAACCCTTTGGTTTCTCACTTTTCTCTAGTTGAATTTGTTGAATATTGGGTAAATTGGAAGAAGTCAGCGAATAGACTAAAATAACATTACAAGTATTGGAGGCAACCGATACAGTTTGAGTCCTGGGGTCAAAAGCCATTATGTCAGGAACCAGAATTCCCGGGATGCTGGCTTTTTTGGTAGAGGTAACCCTTTTTTCAAAAGTCACCAGGATGAGGTGTGAAGAATCTTGGCCACTTCCTGTCAGGTAGTCCTTGGGCCTCAGGTGAAGGAGAGGGCTGGAATCAGCACCCTGCTTGCTGGAAAGTATGTGAGTGAGATCCACGGGAGATGTCACTACAGACAAGGGTTTCTCAGAGTCCAGTGACTTCTTCCCCCCATCCACAGAACACTCCTCCTCCCCGCACAAGCTGGACTGAGAGGGGAAGGACTCGGTTTCAACGCTCGACGGAACTTCAAATGCAACACCAGCATTTAAGCCACAGATCTTGTCCAGAGGGAGCTCAGTGGCAACGGCAACCTGGAAATTCTGCGTCGCCTCCACGGCACAGATGTAGCCTCCCACATCAAAGATTGGGC